AAATGGCCCATTATGCCCGTGCTTCTTGCATCGCGATTTGTTCCTCGGTATATTTATCGGCAGAAGCAGCGATTTCATGGGCTGCGGAGCGACAAACAGACGCTCGGAACTGCCTTGCGTCTCTTAGGCTGTGACACTGCCTTCTGCAACATGACACCTTCGGGAGAAGCTCCGCTTCCATCGCGTACCCGTCGCCTTCCGTTGTGCTTTTGCTGCGCGTGAGCCGGAACGTGATCAAAGGTCGACAGCGATCGCGCTGAAAAGTATAGCTTTTATTGGAGATCGTTGCAACGGACTATATACGTGACTTAAACGTGACGTAATGTTGTCGTGCTGCGATGGCTATTTCTAGTCGTTATGGGTGACACCAGCGAAATTAATCAACGGCACCTAGCGGCTAGGACAGAAAGCTGTGGCGGCAGGTTCGCTTACCAGCCTTCTAGAGCGAATCGAATGTTAACAGCGCCTGGCGGTCTCAAGACCAAGCAGTCAAAGTAGTTTCCAAAGCACGAGGTGAAAATCACCAATTTCCGAGGAAAAAAGAAATACAGCTGTGCGACACGGGTTCTACAGAAGGTGTACGCGCTCAGCAGTAAAAGCAGGCACGTAGCCAGGGGGGAGACGCATGGGGCCCGGCCCCCCCCCCCCCCCCCCCCCCGAAATCTTCCGTTTTGCTGGGACCTCCTCCCCTCATACAGCATTTTGTCATTTTGTCATGGGCACCCCCCCCCCCCCCCCCCCCCCCCCCCCCGAAACAAAATTCTGGCTACGTGCCTGAGTAAAAGTATCGGGCCGCACCAAGGTACGGGCTAAGGGGGCTGCAGCGCGGGCCCCAGGCTGTCAGGGGGTGCAATGCTAACCCCTGGAAATAATTCATAAAAACTGTTAGTCGTTTTTAATTTAAGACAGCTAAGACAAAAAGCAGAATGAACATTCAGAACGGCCTCCGGCGCGTTGCACTCACATTTTCTTCCCCCCCCCCCCCCCCCCCATTTTTGTTTGAACGGGGAGATAGGGTTGCCGTAAAGTTCCCCGTCTCTAGAAAGCCTGGTGTTTGTGAGCTCGGTATTCAAGAGCGTGCCAAAGTAAGAAAATGTAAAGCGACCTCCCCTGTCCATTGTGGGACGGGGCAAAGCCGTCGACGTTGTCGGTCGCGTTGAAGTTTTTTCTAATTGAACCTCAGAGGAAAAACGGCCATGGAGTTCTCTTTTGTACTGGGGTCCCTATGGCGTGCTTTACGTGCACAGTGGTGGGCCGGAAGTTAAGCAAGTGTTATTAAAGACTACTCGAGCTGCAAACATGGTATAATTTTTTTTCAACCTTTCAGCGAATAGCTATATGGAGTTTACCCCAAAACGACAAGTTTAAAATAAGTAAAAATATGCTGGTAAAGCAATTCGCACTCTATCTTTATAACAACAAAGGGGCGTTTAAAGAAGCCGGTCCTTGAGATGTCCCGCAACAGTTTTCGGTAAGCGCTGACTGCAAGCAACTGCCCTGGAATCGGTGCCTAGTCTGCACTTCCACCAACTGACGCGAATACTGCAATGGTTTCACCAACCTCGGTACGACCTCATACATCCAAATGACCGCTATGGTGTAAATGACTGAATTTAAAGGAACAAGATTACTAAATTCAAACTTGTCAAAACATTTTTCTCCTTCAAGCAGGCAGCGTGCAGATAATAAAAAAAAAAAAAAACTATTTATTTGATTTTGATGTAAAAAGTTTTCAATGTAGATGTGCTCGAGCGACGGATGTAAATGTATTAAATCGTATGCAGTTTCTCTAATGGTTTAGTTGTGGAAATCTGTGTCTGCTTGTCACACGAAGGTTGCAGTTATTAGAAGAGCCTGAAAGAAGTGGCTTGGTCCCATGAAGACTGCCTCAACCACCCAAATTTCCTTCTTGCCTGTGTTGCTTCCTTGACTGTTCACATCAGTAATTTATTTACAAAGAGGTAGTTAGACATAATTCAATCATTCGAAAAACGGAAGCTTCTTAGTTTTTTTTTCAGAATTAAGCTTGCTGGATGTTAATGGAACATCCGAATATTTTCCCCAATATTTTATTTACTTGAGTTTTGTACCCAAAAATTGCGCTATGAATTTTCTAATTAACAATTGCCTCCACCTCATTTCCATCAGAGGAAACTAGCATTACATCGCGTTAAATACTCTAAAAAAGGATCGAAAATATAATAAAATAAAAATATTTATATTTCACAAAACGGTAAATTATATATATTGGCGTCCTCGTCGTTAACTCCACTACTATCATCGTCACCATGGTCATTATTATCGGTAGGGGCCCTTAACAGCCTCTTTAGCGCGGGGCAAGCGGTTTAGCTTTTAGTCAAGGGCCACTGGCACAGCACCCTTGTGACGTCACGTTGTGGTGGAGCTCCGGGTGATTGGTTGTACTATGGTGCCTGGATAGCGTCTCCGACTGGTGTGTTCAAAGTGGCAACAAATGACGTCACAGAAGCCGGAGTGTCATGCTGTTGCCTGTCGCGATCCTGGCGGTTGGCCGTAGAAATGCTAACGAAAAGCACGAGCGAACGTGAGTGTCGCTGTGGTCACGGCGTCCCAACTTCCTGCTGCAGTAGCTTCCGTGGACTGTCGAAGTGAAGAGCGACCTGCTGCAGAACAGGCGTCTGCCACACACCGCACAGCTGTTGGAACGCCGCCAGGATCGCGACCGGCGACGACATGACACTTCTATGACGTCATCAGGCGGAAATGGAGGGACGACTTTTTTGGCCGCGGTAAACACACCAGTCGGAGACGCGTTCAGGCACCATGGTTGTACCGCGTATCGCAGTACCACGATGACGCCACTTCGCGGTCGTACGCCTAATGATCAGTGTCGCATCCCTTTAGCAGGTAGTTTCGGTTTTACCGTGATATTTACAAAACTATATTCAATATAAAAGAAAAAAACAATGTACCTTGTGATCCAGGGACACAGCTTTCGTTTAAAACACTCGTAATCCTAAATTAAAAAAAAAAGAAAAAAATATTGACTGGAGTTGTCTTTTAAGCGCGTTCTGACATTCAGCATTCGTCAAATCTCAATCGCAGTCTCAACTCTTGTTCATCGCAAACTATAAGTTGCTTTAACCGCAGCTTGTGCCGATATCGACATGCGAATACCTACTATTGTTACGTGTTACGCACGCAACTGATCGATACTTCGCGCTGGGAGATTTAGTAGCGCTCGCAATTATCGGTAGACGCAACCCAGTGTGTTTACGCGGAGGCTCGGAGCAACGCCATGCATGGGTTTCCAAATCACTCTTGGCTCCCTCTAAAACTGATTTCACCACCGAAGAGAGTGCCGAGGGGATAGCGTAGCGTCCGACGGGAACGCGGCAAGCACTTGGGTGGGTGGGGGAGTCGGGAGCTGGTAATCCCTTCAGCTTGCGCGAAGGGGGCCGCCGCTTTCGGTGGAGGATCGCTTTGATTACGCCGCGGTCCCCGCAATGCTGAGGTCGAGCTGCATCAGGGCCCACACTCGCGGAGAGCTACCGCAGCCAAGGATTATCCGCTCTCCCCTCGGTCCCTTCACCGGTCCTTTAGTTCTTCCCTAATCCCTCATAGAAAAGGGGAGCTAGAGCAGCGCGCGCGATGCGGTCGTTGTGCTAATGAAATATTTTGCTCCTGTTAATTCGTGGCTTTGTCAAAAAGCCGACGTTAATGAACGCTTCTGAGGAAAGAAAATGAAGACGGTTGGAGAAGCCTTCAGTGGGCGAGCGAGGAAAAAGCTAGAACAAACTTTATAAGTACTTAAAACAGAAAAACAAAATGTGTGTGCGCGTGTGATCGTCGGCGGGTACTTGCTCCCGCGTATTAATTCGCGGTTCTCTCTTGTATGACGTAAATGAGCGGAAATTGGATTAGGAACGTTAAACCGACGATACGAAACGAGTGGACGTCGTCCGATTTCTTAGGAGGGACTTCACGTCTTCCTAATTATGCGCTCGTGGTTCCGTCTTTGGTTGCCTAAGACGGGGGGGGGGGGGGGGGGGGGGTACAGATTGAATTACGTCGTGTATAATGCACTATTTGTACTTTAGAAGTTACGTGCTTGATGAGTTGCGGGCGGCACAATCAACTTTTTTTTTTCTATTAGAAACACGATTTTTTATAATAAAATTGTTGCAGTTTTGTTGGTTCCGTAGCTTCTTGTCTATGCGAGGTATTTTATTATTTAAGGGATTTTGCGAGGGTGTTTTGAATATTTTGTCTAACGACTATCAATACCCACTTTCAGTGAAATTGTGATATTTAAGAAAGGGCCAAGATGACCGTCTTTTCTTGATGTCCTCTATGAAGTTATCATTGGCGTACGTTACTATTATTCGTGCGACTATCAAACTATCTTGTTATTAAAATAAGAGATTTGGAAATCGCTGTGTCGCTGTTTTCAGCCGACTTAAAGATCGATCGTCTTTAAAAAAATTGATATGTCGGCGGTCTAACAAAGCTACTCTGATGTCTCAACAGACTGCTGTCTGTGTAAGGTGTTAAAATTACCAACAAAAAAAAAAGTTAAAAAAAAAAATAAAAGCACGTTCGTGTTTTTTCTTTTTGTTTCTAGGTAGGCTAAGTTTATTACTCAACTTTACTTAGTCAGGCGGGAGGGGAATTGTTTATATATTGCTCTAGTCGTTCACGTATCTAGCCACATTGTTTAGCTACAATTGAAAGTAGAACACTAATATCAAATTAACATTTCAGTAATGAGAGTAGTGACTTCCAATATCTTCAAACGATAAGTTTGAAATCTAAAGACATCGCTGACATTATGCATATCAATACTGACTGATGCGATATGGTTGTTCAATGCTTACACGTGTACGCGTTCATACTATATACGCCTTCTGTCTTTCATTTGCCTCGGTGCCCGGTTCGGCCCAGAAGTACGTTCATATATTTCGGTTAGATGATGTCTTGGCTGGTTTCCTTCCCTCTTTGAGAACTCAAGGCATACTCACGTGGGAGATTTGGACATGCGAGCGACGCCACCGGCAACAGGTCTGAACGCCGAGGTGTACGAAACCGGGCCCATGGCCTGACCCGCCCCCGCAGTCACGAGTCCCAACGCCAGCGTGGAGGGAGGCGGTGGCGGCGGCAGCAGGGCTCCCGCGGGGTCCTCGGAGAGCGGCGACGAGTAGGGCCCGGGGTCCGGGGGCGGCGGCAGCAGCCTGTGACTCGGCGTCGGGGGCCAGAGCACGCCGGCGGCGGCGTAGGGACTCGGCAGCGACAGGGACTGCTTGGCGCCCATCCACACGTAGTCGCCGAAAGTGGACGGCCGCAGGCCGGTGTTCGGAGACAGCGGTTTGCCGGCCAGGCAGAACAGGGGCGGCGGGAAGAGCGCGGGCATCGGGGCGCTGCTTGACAGCGGCAGCACCGGGAAGTACGGGGGCGCCGCCGAGGGCTTGGACGACGCAGCCGCGGTGGTGGCCGCGTCCCTGTCCTGCGCCCCGGCGCCGCCGCCACCGGACATCCTCGGGCGCTTGGATGCCGAGGACGAAGAAGAGGAGGAGACGGCAACGCGTCGTCGGCTTCCGCCGTTGAACATGGCCTTGACGTCCTCCCAGGCGTAGCTGACGTCCTCCGGAGGAGTCCCATTGAGCTTGATGTGCCTCCGCCAGGAGTTGAAGTTTGCTGCGTCCGGTTGCACGTACTTGGAGTCCGGAAGCCGGTGCGAGTGGAAGATGAACTTGTTGGGCGAGAAGAAGAGCGCGCAGTAGGCGCACTTGATGCACTTGGCCCGGGACGAGTTGTAGCGGGCCGGCACGAAGTTGCCGCGGCAGCCCCAGGCGCACTGGTGGGCCACGTCGAAGGCGAAGTTCTCGGGCAGCTTGGGCGGCGGCGTGTCCGTCAGGAAGGACTTGCAGAGCCGCTCGGCCTCGCGCTTGGTGATCATGCCGCAGCGCCGCGAGGACACCGGCATGGCGCCCGCGCGCCGCAGCAGCTCCAGCTGCACGGGCGTGCACTGGACGCACGTGATGCCCAGCGCCACGCGCCGGTTGTGGATCTCGTTGTAGGAGTAGTCCTTGAGCAGCGTGTTGGAGATCTGCGCCAGGCTGAGCCGCTCCTGGCCCTCGATGACCAGCGCCACGATGGGCACGCTGTACAGCAGCACCGTGCGCACCTCGTTCGGCCCGCCCGAGGTCGGCGGGGCCGCGAGGCTGCTGCCGCCCGGGTGGCGCCCGCCGCCGCCGCCGCCGCTGGGGCGGTGGTGCTCCTGGGAGGCGGGCGAGGAGCAGGACACAGAAGGTCAAAACACCGGGTAACACTGCTCGTATTGGGAGCAGTCAAACAAAAGAGTGGTTGGTACTTTTTAGGACCTTTTCTTTATTCTTTGATGTTTAAAACGGCCCCACGGGACAACCATAGGGCCAGAGGTCTCGATATTAATACAAGAAAAAACGTTTTCACTACCTTCAATGTGCATACATCGCTTTCACTGACGTCACATTAGCGGCCATCGCGGTGTCCTTGCTGCTGATCGAACGAACGCCTTCTCCAGAATGCATTCCCCACCATCCATTTTTTTTTCTTTAAAGAACAAGCGGGAATGACCACCGGCATGATGCGACAACGTTACATGCAAGCCATGTAGACAGTTGCGTCTATAAGTTGACCTTTAACATGTCAATTATTTGTATTTTATTTATGCTAGTTTCAACGCCCTAATATTTTAGCTTTTCTATAAACCGTTTAACCTTTCTAGCGACTCTTCAATCGCTTCTTTACTGACTCTGTTTTTCCCATTGAATGTAAAGGCAGAATGAGGTGAAATGAAGTTATTTTGCATTCAACAAACTCTCTTCACAATTATCGCATAAATCCCGATGCCACTTAAGCTCGGCGCATTTTTTTTTTCTGATCAAATCATTTAGTATAGCGCATTATTTACAACTATAGGCGATAACAGCGGCCTTCAGGACTGTCCTAAACAAGCTAAAAACCTCTAAAGGACTCTCCCGCTTTTCCTTAAGTATCTTACTTGAGGTGTTCCACCCTCACGTTAGCCATCGTCTCAGAGAAGTTTGGGTGGCAGCATTATTCAAGCAACCAAACGCTTTTGTGTTTTACTCATCAAGCGCATAAAGACAAAAACTCGCACGTTTGTGGTTGGTATATTGAAGTGCTAACACTAGTGCTTATTTCGGCTAGGTTTGAACGACCTGGTTCGTTTATTTCCAGAGTGTCTAAAATTCTGCAAGCCCCACAGGGTTTAACAGTACTCCTTCGGCTTTTGAAATGTTTCTATGTTTGACCGCAAGCATTCACCTTCAATGGGAGTCCCAATACGTTTGCGCGCTAATAGCTTGACGATAGAGAGTTCTAGAAAATGGGACTCCAACCTTTTGGGACTCCCGAGCAGATTGGGAAGGGTTTAAAAGTACTCCTTCGGCTTTTGAAATGTTTCTATGTTTGACCGCAAGCATTCACCTTCAATGGGAGTCCCAATACGTTTGCGCGCTAATAGCTTGACGATAGAGAGTTCTAGAAAATGGGACTCCAACCTTTTGGGACTCCCGAGCAGATTGGGAAGGGTTTAAAAGTACTCCTTCGGCTTTTGAAATGTTTCTATGTTTGACCGCAAGCATTCACCTTCAATGGGAGTCCCAATACGTTTGCGCGCTAATAGCTTGACGATAGAGAGTTCTAGAAAATGGGACTCCAACCTTTTGGGACTCCCGAGCAGATTGGGAAGGGTTTAAAAGTACTCCTTCGGCTTTTGAAATGTTTCTATGTTTGACCGCAAGCATTCACCTTCAATGGGAGTCCCAATACGTTTGCGCGCTAATAGCTTGACGATAGAGAGTTCTAGAAAATGGGACTCCAACCTTTTGGGACTCCCGAGCAGATTGGGAAGGGTTTAAAAGTACTCCTTCGGCTTTTGAAATGTTTCTATGTTTGACCGCAAGCATTCACCTTCAATGGGAGTCCCAATACGTTTGCGCGCTAATAGCTTGACTCCCGAGCAGATTGGGAAGGGTTTAAAAGTACTCCTTCGGCTTTTGAAATGTTTCTATGTTTGACCGCAAGCATTCACCTTCAATGGGAGTCCCAATACGTTTGCGCGCTAATAGCTTGACTCCCGAGCAGATTGGGAAGGGTTTAAAAGTACTCCTTCGGCTTTTGAAATGTTTCTATGTTTGACCGCAAGCATTCACCTTCAATGGGAGTCCCAATACGTTTGCGCGCTAATAGCTTGACGATAGAGAGTTCTAGAAAATGGGACTCCAACCTTTTGGGACTCCCGAGCAGATTGGGAAGGGTTTAAAAGTACTCCTTCGGCTTTTGAAATGTTTCTATGTTTGACCGCAAGCATTCACCTTCAATGGGAGTCCCAATACGTTTGCGCGCTAATAGCTTGACGATAGAGAGTTCTAGAAAATGGGACTCCAACCTTTTGGGACTCCCGAGCAGATTGGGAAGGGTTTAAAAGTACTCCTTCGGCTTTTGAAATGTTTCTATGTTTGACCGCAAGCATTCACCTTCAATGGGAGTCCCAATACGTTTGCGCGCTAATAGCTTGACGATAGAGAGTTCTAGAAAATGGGACTCCAACCTTTTGGGACTCCCGAGCAGATTGGGAAGGGTTTAAAAGTACTCCTTCGGCTTTTGAAATGTTTCTATGTTTGACCGCAAGCATTCACCTTCAATGGGAGTCCCAATACGTTTGCGCGCTAATAGCTTGACTCCCGAGCAGATTGGGAAGGGTTTAAAAGTACTCCTTCGGCTTTTGAAATGTTTCTATGTTTGACCGCAAGCATTCACCTTCAATGGGAGTCCCAATACGTTTGCGCGCTAATAGCTTGACTCCCGAGCAGATTGGGAAGGGTTTAAAAGTACTCCTTCGGCTTTTGAAATGTTTCTATGTTTGACCGCAAGCATTCACCTTCAATGGGAGTCCCAATACGTTTGCGCGCTAATAGCTTGAGGATAGAGAGTTCTAGAAAATGGGACTCCAACCTTTTGGGACTCCCGAGCAGATTGGGAAGGGTTTAAAAGTACTCCTTCGGCTTTTGAAATGTTTCTATGTTTGACCGCAAGCATTCACCTTCAATGGGAGTCCCAATACGTTTGCGCGCTAATAGCTTGACGATAGAGAGTTCTAGAAAATGGGACTCCAACCTTTTGGGACTCCCGAGCAGATTGGGAAGGGTTTAAAAGTACTCCTTCGGCTTTTGAAATGTTTCTATGTTTGACCGCAAGCATTCACCTTCAATGGGAGTCCCAATACGTTTGCGCGCTAATAGCTTGACGATAGAGAGTTCTAGAAAATGGGACTCCAACCTTTTGGGACTCCCGAGCAGATTGGGAAGGGTTTAAAAGTACTCCTTCGGCTTTTGAAATGTTTCTATGTTTGACCGCAAGCATTCACCTTCAATGGGAGTCCCAATACGTTTGCGCGCTAATAGCTTGACGATAGAGAGTTCTAGAAAATGGGACTCCAACCTTTTGGGACTCCCGAGCAGATTGGGAAGGGTTTAAAAGTACTCCTTCGGCTTTTGAAATGTTTCTATGTTTGACCGCAAGCATTCACCTTCAATGGGAGTCCCAATACGTTTGCGCGCTAATAGCTTGAGGATAGAGAGTTCTAGAAAATGGGACTCCAACCTTTTGGGACTCCCGAGCAGATTGGGAAGGGTTTAAAAGTACTCCTTCGGCTTTTGAAATGTTTCTATGTTTGACCGCAAGCATTCACCTTCAATGGGAGTCCCAATACGTTTGCGCGCTAATAGCTTGACGATAGAGAGTTCTAGAAAATGGGACTCCAACCTTTTGGGACTCCCGAGCAGATTGGGAAGGGTTTAAAAGTACTCCTTCGGCTTTTGAAATGTTTCTATGTTTGACCGCAAGCATTCACCTTCAATGGGAGTCCCAATACGTTTGCGCGCTAATAGCTTGAGGATAGAGAGTTCTAGAAAATGGGACTCCAACCTTTTGGGACTCCCGAGCAGATTGGGAAGGGTTTAAAAGTACTCCTTCGGCTTTTGAAATGTTTCTATGTTTGACCGCAAGCATTCACCTTCAATGGGAGTCCCAATACGTTTGCGCGCTAATAGCTTGACGATAGAGAGTTCTAGAAAATGGGACTCCAACCTTTTGGGACTCCCGAGCAGATTGGGAAGGGTTTAAAAGTACTCCTTCGGCTTTTGAAATGTTTCTATGTTTGACCGCAAGCATTCACCTTCAATGGGAGTCCCAATACGTTTGCGCGCTAATAGCTTGAGGATAGAGAGTTCTAGAAAATGGGACTCCAACCTTTTGGGACTCCCGAGCAGATTGGGAAGGGTTTAAAAGTACTCCTTCGGCTTTTGAAATGTTTCTATGTTTGACCGCAAGCATTCACCTTCAATGGGAGTCCCAATACGTTTGCGCGCTAATAGCTTGACGATAGAGAGTTCTAGAAAATGGGACTCCAACCTTTTGGGACTCCCGAGCAGATTGGGAAGGGTTTAAAAGTACTCCTTCGGCTTTTGAAATGTTTCTATGTTTGACCGCAAGCATTCACCTTCAATGGGAGTCCCAATACGTTTGCGCGCTAATAGCTTGACGATAGAGAGTTCTAGAAAATGGGACTCCAACCTTTTGGGACTCCCGAGCAGATTGGGAAGGGTTTAAAAGTACTCCTTCGGCTTTTGAAATGTTTCTATGTTTGACCGCAAGCATTCACCTTCAATGGGAGTCCCAATACGTTTGCGCGCTAATAGCTTGACGATAGAGAGTTCTAGAAAATGGGACTCCAACCTTTTGGGACTCCCGAGCAGATTGGGAAGGGTTTAAAAGTACTCCTTCGGCTTTTGAAATGTTTCTATGTTTGACCGCAAGCATTCACCTTCAATGGGAGTCCCAATACGTTTGCGCGCTAATAGCTTGAGGATAGAGAGTTCTAGAAAATGGGACTCCAACCTTTTGGGACTCCCGAGCAGATTGGGAAGGGTTTAAAAGTACTCCTTCGGCTTTTGAAATGTTTCTATGTTTGACCGCAAGCATTCACCTTCAATGGGAGTCCCAATACGTTTGCGCGCTAATAGCTTGACGATAGAGAGTTCTAGAAAATGGGACTCCAACCTTTTGGGACTCCCGAGCAGATTGGGAAGGGTTTAAAAGTACTCCTTCGGCTTTTGAAATGTTTCTATGTTTGACCGCAAGCATTCACCTTCAATGGGAGTCCCAATA